GAGTGTCAAGAGTGGAAACGTCGCGGATGGCGGGGGTCTTTCTCCCTCTTTGCAGCTCGCGACGAAAATAATCATTTTCAACGCGCTGATAAATCATCAAGGGTTTATCAAACTTTCAGCGAAAGTGCCGTGTCGCGAAATTGATGTTACCGGTTATAAATAGCGATACAGCATCGCGAGGGAACGAGTACGGCCTGTCTGACTACGCGCCGACCCTTTCCACTCGGAGGGCGAAGTTGGTTACGTGTCGCGTGTATCGCTTCCCCTGTAACTTCTAAAATTACGAGGGAAAGGTTGCCTTATTTTTAGACCCTCCGCGATTGCCCTTGAACCTAATAATACGTCCTTGAAACCGTAGGTGTTTTTCCAGGCTGCTCCTTTCCGCTCGTCCGACTTATTTATAATTCCACTCCTTTCTCGCTTCTGTACACACGAATCCCGTGGATGTCGACCAACAGCCGACCAGCGGCCGCAGGCGACCGGAAACTGGCCGTTCGGTGACTCGATAAAAAGCGTGTGTCCCACAGCTGACACAGCGAGAACTCAGACCGTCAATCATAGCGAGACACCGACGCTCTATCGAGATAAAAAGAACCGCCCATTGGCTCTCTGTTACGCGTAGGCCTGCGGCGGTAATGACGCTGGCAGGAAGAGGGGAATCATCGATCGACTACCCCTCGGTGCTTTCCTCATTCAGCTTCATTGTCAGACTTTCGCCGAGCATGGTAGAAAACGGGGGTACCGCGGGCGTGAAACTATAATGGAACGATTTTAAGCGATTGGATCGCGATGATCGACGCGCTCCTACGGATAATTCGCTTTCTGGCAGCCGTGAATGAACGAGAATCCGAATGAAAGCGGGGGAAATGATGAAAGAGACAGGTAACAATGCAATCCCAAAAATGTCCGCGTGCAATATCGGCACCTGTTGTCCCGCGAAATAACCGTACCCGATTGTTCGTCAACCGTGTCCACCGATCCCGGGTCACTTCTTTCCTGCCTCTCATTTCGTTTCATTCACCTGCACACGGTCTGCCTCGCGTTTCTGCATCGCGCGGATTTAGGAAGTTGGAAGGAAATGTATCGTGAACGAGTGGCAAGCGAAACGTGATTTTTCTCGTAGTTTGGGGAAATTTAATTTTCCGGAAAGTTGCGGCAACGAAATCGTCGACCCATTTCACCGCGACTCCGAGGTACTTATTGTTTCAGTTGCAAGGAACGTTTTTGCGTTCACGCGTGACCCGAAAACCGGCGGACACGAGGCAAAAATGCGTTCGATGGAACACGGTGGCTAGAGCCGAAAAGGGACAAGAAAAATTCGGTCGTGGGGGAGGTGAGAGATGCATTTTTACCATCGAGGTGCGCGCACTGTTTTCGCATTCGGATGTACACCCGGCCTAAACTTTAATTACGGAACGGGAACTGGGTTAATCACTCGCAATTCAGCAAGTTTTAGGGCCGGTTAGCCACGCACCGAGCATTTTTCCCCAGCTGTTAGCCTCGAAACGCCCAACGACATCCGGTCGTTTCAACGACGGACGAACAGACCAAACCGAAATTACTATATACTCGTATGTATACGCGTGTACCCGGGAAAGATTGAAATTTACCGTGCAGCCGTGAAAACTACGGACTTCCAAATCCTCGAAATTGATACGAATGGAAATGCACTTCGGCCAATAACTTCGCGAAACTATGCTAACGGTGTCGTACTATTTTCATCGTTTTCATTATTTATCCGTCGAATTTACGGGCCGAGTGGAAACTTCTGGATGCCTGTGCGGGTGTCCATTTAAACTTTATGATAAACACGACTCGATATTTCATCCCGAAACGTTCAGGCGCTCTGCGTCCCGAAATTAAACGTTCATCCTCGATAATTTCACTATTTTACCCGTCTACAATTTTATCTCCCCTCTTTCTCTCTAAACCACCGATTTTATTCGCGCTCGTACACGGTACCGTCTCGTAACGATTATTTATTTCCCTCATTTACGGGCCCCGTGATTGAATGCAGACTTGGGAATGGTTACGTTCAAGAACGCCCTAAATTTTCGTTTAAACTTTGCGGTAAGGAGGGGATAACTAACCTGTGGGTGTGCATGGTGTTCTTGCCGCCTCCACGAGGTCCTCGCGACTTCCGGGCGGTGCTTCCAGCATCGTGCCGCTGCCGGAGAATTTCTTTACACATAGCAGGCTCAACGCTGTAACAAAACAGAAATAATCGTCAGCGATGGTGCAGTTAATTACGTACGCTCGTAATAAATTTACAGACAATTCGAGGAACCGTTTCATAAAGTTATTTTTCTCGCAAGCTCTCATTAAAGATTCCTCGAATCGAGCTGTAAATGTTTGAATTAATAACGATATATTATCGAAGAATAAATTGGATTCGATTCTACGTTGAAAACGCATTCGTTAATTACCTCATTAATCTTCGATCGAATTATATTTCCATCGACGTGTGACGGAATTATGGCAATCTCGTTATTTCCACGTTATTACCAACGAATCGAATCTTCCGGTTATTACAGCGAGTACTCTCCCAAGTAAATTTTCTTTCGCGATAATCCTCCCATGCAAGCTAATTACCAAAGAAGTAGAAGCTAGATTCTCAGAAGGTGTAGCTTCTACTATTTTGATAGAATTTCCAAAGAACTTCGCTATTCAGATCGCACGCATAGAGGAATTATACTGCTTTCGCGAGTTCAAGAGCTTCCGATATCATTCAGTTCGTCTTTACCAAACTGCAGCGCAAGGTCTGATCCATTACAGTCCTATTCTACTAGCAATTCAATTCCTTCGCGCTTTACGCGAAGTATGAAGCATTTAAAATTAAAATTACACGGTTTCAAATGCTCCGTCGTAATTATGTTCCAGCGGACAATTTTGTTAAGCGATTATACGGCGTTTTCTTGGGGAAAAAATTCCCCGCTCCTGACCGAATAAAAGAAACATGGACACAGGCCGGCCCAAACCGTCTCCTCGTCCACGAAACGTTCCACGACACTCGTGTAATTCTTTTCCCCGCAATTTACCATCGGGCCAAGGCAAAAGGAGAACACTCGTCGCGGCGAGATCTCGTCAGCGACGCGCGTTGTCCGCGCAAGACTCGCGTGCACGGTCGAGGCGCGTTTTAATTAAATTTTCACAACCACAGCGCCGCGAGGAATGCTCCGTCGCACGTAATAACACGTGTGTCGCGTGGCACACACCTGCACGTCGGGCTACGCTCGCGATCGTACGTACAAATAAGCGGTAGACTGGTATTGGAAGCTTTATACGAGCCGGCTAATACTGTTTCACCTTTGTGCTTGGGCACAAGCCAGAAAGAGAGTATTAACAATACCGTGGCTTGGCGACGCTGACGTCCCGGGTACGCTTTGCATGATTAATTTTGCGGTCGCATCCGAAACATCAGGCGCCTGGGACCCGCGTCAGGGCCCCTTTTCTTTTCCACCTTTCGTCCTGTCACTGAAAATCTTTTGCAAAATTCAGCTTGCAAATTTTGCGCATGAATTCCTCGAGCTCTCGTTAATTTTTCAAATTCTACGCTAGCTCGTGGAAGCTTGAATTTTTAAGAATTACGCATTGGCAATACGTTCAGGGACGATGCATATTTTATATCCAATTTGTTCGATTCCAGCTCGGATGGTAGCGGCGAAGGTACGTCAATTAATTCCGACAATGGTTCAGGGTTGTTAAGAAGTTACTCGTTCGGTTGGAAAATGTTCTCCTTAACCTGCAGCTTCGTTCTACGCTTCCCGAGGAATGAACCCGCACCTCGGGAAACTCAAAGGTGAGCGACGTGGAACAGCGTGCTTTCCATCACGCCATTCTTCCATCGAAGGAGGAAAACTTCCCCTTTTATCTCTTCGATCATCGCTAGTGACACTCTATTATAAATAGACCGTTCCAGGAGTACATGCCATCATCGTTGAGTTCATTAAGAACCGATCGGAACTTCCCATTGCGCTGCTTGCCCGGTTAAAGGGGGACACCCCTTTCATAGGTACACGACGGCACGGCTCAATAATAAATCAGGCAAAACCGAATTCCAAGATCGAGGGTTAATCCAAGTCTCCCTCGTGCCATCGCGTTGCTTTATTTCCCGCGTTTTAAAACGTCATTTGAACGGTGACGATTCTCTTCGAGATCGATATCGGTTCTTCCTTACCCTCCTTTTCCACCTTCTCATCCGACGAATTTCTCCCCTTTCACGGTGGAAAAATTTAGCGTTCAGCACGGTCGGAACCCTCCACAATCTCGGTGTACGTTCCAGCTTCCTGCGGTTCAATTTTCATCCTTTGACGATAGCCGAAAGGCAAGAAGCATCAAGCATCGAGAATCGGTGGCGGCAGCCACCGAACCATCTCCTTTGTCTCGTTCTATTTTCCAATGGTCCTTTCCATCCTTCCACCGTCGGCTCCTTCTCGATTCCTTCCGCTCCCACCCGCCCCGTCCTCCATCCTTTTGTGCCGGCCAGATCGAGCAGACCGCTTTTTCCAAGCTACGGCAGCCAAGCTCTAATCTTCCACGAGCGTTCGCTCTGTCGCCTCTCTGTCGACGAGTTTGCGGATACTTTGAAAGCAAATTCGTGGCCCGCAATTCCAGATAAAATTGCGCCTTTCACCGGCTGACTCACGGAAGAATTCCGAATTGTATTTCAGCCGCGCGTGCATTGTCGTGGCACACGGCTTCCTTCCCCTTTAGCCTGTCTGCAACCCGACGAAATTGAATCACAAAGGGGAAGAAAAATGCTTTCCTTCCCCGGATCATTTCCGAACTTCCCTCTACCTCTTCGCCACGCTCTGTGTCGATCTTGCTTTTTCTCCAGCTCGCGGAATTCTAACCGTGACTCCCGTTTTCATCCAGAAAGAGGATTTGTCACGCAGTCGCTTAAACCGTGTTTCGGGTTTCGTAGGCACGCGTTCGGACGAATGACAAAGAGGAGAGACAGGCTATCGCATCTATTATTTTGAAAATCTATTGCCGACGACCCGGCGGTTCCGAACGGGTGCCTGGTCACGTCGGTTAGCGAGGAATCCCACGATACGACTCGCCATAGAAATTATTCACATTCTGCACAACAAACGGATTCCGCATACCGCGTGATTGTTTCCGTAGTTCCGAGCGTACCGTTTCACGAATAATCGACGAAACTGAACTCTGGTCTCGATCCTTTCTCTTCCTTTGTCTCCGTTCTCGCGAGTGAAAGCCTGGACATCGATCCTCTTTCCTTCAGCCGTCGCGAGAGCCTGACTTTTCGAGACAGTCATTCGTCAAACGTTGTCCTCCTCTGGTCGCCATGGTTTTTATACTTTACTCGTCGTTCACGGGCTCCTCTGTCGAGGTACGTGAGCCGAAATTCAACGATACACACGCGGAAGGATGGAACGAGGAAATTCCAGCCTGGGCGAAGCAGCAGGGGAATTTTATTTATCCGAATGCCGTGGTCGTTTATCTCCAGTCTCTCGAGCTTCCTCGACCGATAGCCTCTGGCCAACTTTCGTTCTAGAATCCAATTTTTTCTCTTTCTCTCCTGCCCCTTTTGGAGAGAGGGACGGACACGGTGCGAGGTCTGGCTAATGTACCGTCTAAGATGTACGTCCAGAGACTCCGAATGTAATATTTTATCTCGGTTTTTTTTTGCCGGCGTTTAAGGGTTAATGGGGAAGACACAGTTTGACGTAAAACACGTTGTCCGAGGGATTATCAGCTGATGGATAATTTACGAAGGAACTCACCCCGCTTCACGTCCCGCCACGTGTTCGTGATTTCGTCGAGTCTTCCTTCCCCGTTTGGTGTTCACCCATATATTCCTCTCACATCGTTCTGATGGCCAGACGTTCTACGAATCTGGAACATGGTAGAACAATACGGTTATGGGATTTGTCCCGTGCTTCCTGCCATTGCTTTCCCATTATCTGCTATAATTGGTACAACGTGGCACATGCTCCAATTATAATGCTATTATAATGCAGCATTCTGTTTTTACGAATGTATATCGAATTGCAATCGATAGGTGAAACGTCGTGTTGTAATTGCTGCAATTACCGTGCTATATTAATCGCAACAGCGACGGAATGATCGTCGATTGGTAAACCGTTGTTAATAGTTTCCATTTTTACTCGCCGATATCGACAAAATCGTATTTAATATATTTCTAGAGATCTCGATTCTATTCGCTCTATTCCCAAATCTCGAGCATCCGTTTTATTCCCGGACAACCAGTTTCTGTCTTATACCGCTCGCAAAACTCGCCTATCTTCCCCTTATTTCACGTTATAGTATCTATTTCGACTCTAGAAATTTGGAATTAAATCTCGGAATAAATTTAATTCCCCGAACGGTGTTATTTATATTTATTAATTTTTCGCGAAGTTGTTTAGCTCGTTTTCTTTCATCGCGAATCGATCAGCGAAGCGGTCATTAGGTTAGGGTAGAGCACACACGCGCGATAAATGCATAATGCTGTCCAGGTCTGCGCTGTGCAAGGGCTGCAGGCTATGTGCACGTGCACATGTGCGGACACATGTGGCGAGACGTATGCACCGCAGACCACGCAAGAGCAAATAAGAGGCGAGCATGTGCGGCTTATGCAAAATGTCGACTACAAAACTGGAATCGTAAAATCCCCGTGTCCCGTAACTTTTATCCTCCACCCGTCCAGTTAAACTATGTTTTATCGTTTTAATTCGTTTAATACGCAGTCGTTTTAATCAATCGACCGATTGGTACACGTTGGTCGCGGCACGGAATTTCCACCGAAATGAAATATTTATTTCGTTATTTTTCCGCGTTGATTTTTCTTTGTGCGTTAAAATTTAATATTTCTATTTCCACTTTGCCTCCGTCAATCGCAGGAAATGTTCGATTTCGTTATTGAAATTTCCATTTCTTCTCTTTTCACGACTTCTCTGCCCGACGCGAATTTTTTCTTTTCACAGTCGACACGATGCTCGAACGATTTTCGAGGATCGTCCACGAAAGACATTAACACGACTAACGTCCCGACGAATCGGATAGGAAATGCTCGAACGCATTGTAAGCATCCGCGAGCGCTGCTTCGAAACGGAATTGCTCGTAAATTCCGTGACGAGGAATCTTTTATCTCTCAATGCTCTCCCTTCCCCGCTCGCAGTTACGGTTGCCGCTGTTACAAGATAAGGGATGCTCCTCTTCTTAATCTCCGCTTCTCCACCTCGTTCAACCCGCTTTTGTCCGATTCTTTAACCCTGCCCGTCACCTAAATCTTCCCGATGCCTCCGGGTAAAACTTTAATCATTAACGCAACCGTTTAACGAAATTCCGTATCACTCGACAGCAGGGCATAATGCACGAGCTCGGAAACATACGGCGTTAACAAATGAATTTAGCGGAAAATCCAGCGGGAATAATTAATGGGATAATTTCGTTTCGTTATCGTTACTTAACCCTCTGTTCGTCGGTGCGAAAAGACGGGGCTCCAGGTGCTGCTGCCGGCAGATAATGGCGCAGCTATCCGCACATCCGCTAATTCCGGGTGCTAGATCGGGGGAACTCGCAAGAGAACAGCGACAAAATCCTGACAGGAGTTTCGGTTGTCGCTCGAGTGGTCACCCGGTCGGTCGTGGCCGTGGCAGAGGCGCCGTGGAACTGGTAATTGGTGTCTGAAAGCTGTTTTCAGCCGGAAACCAATCGTCCCCCTCTTCGAGGAAAGTTTCCAGCTACTGGCAGTCGGAGTTTGCCCGGTATAGAATGTCCATGCCGCTACTCGTGTAACCAATCGTCGAAATCGTGCCACCCAGGCAAACGGCGAAGAAAAATTGCGGCCAGCGAAGCGCGAAAACTGTGCAGGAACACACGGAAAAGTTTGCGTCCGTGCTTGGCCAGCGTGAAACCGCACTGCTTTTTCGATCGCCAATATCGCGCTGCGAGAAGTGGAGAACGGGGATACCTTTGGCACTGATTGAACCGAGAAATATTCGCGAAAGGTCTCGGCTGGGAAATCGCGAATATCAAACTCCTAGTAATGAACCACTTACCCAACGATTCGAGCTCCGACGACGCGTGGCACGATCAACAATTCGGTAAGGTCGGTCACACGTCGAGTCACTTCGTCCGAACACAGCGAAGAATAACACGGAACTGAGGCAGCAAGTGGTCGACGAACCTCGACGAGATTAACCATGAGCCCGACCCGTGTTGTTTACCTTGAAACCGTTACGACCACGTCTGTCACACGTGATACTCATGTTCGACCCGATAACTAAGTTGAGAGTGTTACGCGATATTCTATACGAAGAGAATAATAACTACTATGGATATTTTTTGGCTGATTTTAAACACGATGATAATACTCGGATATTGAAACCAGGTTTTGCTCCATCCCGTTCAAGCTATGGAATTGAATATTACGAATGAAATTGGAGCCCCGACGCGGCTTCGGTTTCCGCGGCTTCGAAATAATTTAATTAGGGAAGTTGAGTTTCCCAGGACTCGGAAAGGTGGAACGCCGTCTTCTGCCGGGGATCCTCGTTATTCGAGAACTCGTCGCCTCCCGGCTCATTTGACGCGCGAAATTTCTCTCGGTGAACGAAGACTATAAAGCGAGCCGAGGCACGGGAATCGGGGAACAGAGTGGAGTGAAAACTGGCGCTGAAAAACGCTTCTCTGGGCGCGAAAGCAAACGAGGTCGCCGTTATTTCCGATATCATGCAGGCGATGGTACTTTCGTGTGCCTACTATATTGGAGTTATTGGGCTGCGGTTTTCGGGGTTATCTGTAGTTTGTGCGAACTTCGAGCACCGCGCGCTTCATTCTCCCTCTGTTCCGACGGGGATTACTTTTTTTTCGAAATAGAAGCCAGAAATATAAAAACGGCACGGCGAGGATATTTCGCGTGCGAGTGATTTTTAGCAACGGGAAGCAACGGCGTAGACGTACGATTCGAGGAAGCATCGAGTCGTTGTTACGGGAACGAGTAACTAACACGCGCCAGCTTTTATTCGTGTACTATGCAAGCATCAAGATTCCGGGTTCGGAACAGTACACCGGCCATCCCAGTTCCATACACGCGTGCACACGCGCGCGATACATGCACGAGCCAGTTCCCAGGAGTCGTATAGTTGGTGACTAGTAATTAGCTAGACGAGTGACACTATCTCCGTTATCACTCCCAGGGTACAACGAACACGCAATATCCGGGCTCAGGCTCGTATCGTGCATTCGTTCCTGTCCCTATAATTTGCGCGCGTAATTCCGTCTTATCAGATCAATCGCAACAATTCCGTTTCAACAAATAATCAGCTCTGAAGATAATCGAATAACGCTGCATATCCGGAGTATGCAACTTCCCCTGGTTTGCTTCGAGATCAGGGGGAATCGTGATTCAGCCAGGGTCTCGAGGCGACTTCGTTATTCTTATCACTGTTCTCATTTTCCATTCCTCATTTCCCCGCTGAAAAATCTGACTACCGTGAGAGGTATGCGGGAACAGGAGACCCGCGGTTCAACGCGAATCGTCTTTCCAATGCAATTCCTTCGTCTGTTTTGCCATTCCTCTTTATTTCTCCCACCACCCCCCCGTACCACCGCCGCCTTACCTTTATCCTCGCCAGCTCCCTAACCCGCAACACGCTACGTTTGTATGTGTGTTTGCAGCTTCTATCATTCCGTTCTCTTCGAATGCCACAGCTCGTTCCACCGGTTTTCATTCCCCGCGTGTCTTTTCCCGCTGCCGCGGCGGGCCGCGCGTTTATCCGGATGCTTTTCAGCTACGTACACACCTGGAAGACGTTCCACGGGAAAAAGGACGAGTTCATAACCCGGGATACAGAGGGGAATATAAAGCAGACAGTGTGCTGGAACGATCTCATAACCTTTTCCCGGCGTTACGCTCTATACATTTTTCTCCGTCCCGCTGCTTTTCCTTCCTTCAACCCCGGCAGATCCGGCTCCCTCGCTGTGACCACCTTTCGCTGCTTCGGGGGAGCTGGCCGGACAGCCGGGTAATTTTCGTGGCTCGCGAAAGTTTGCGGAACGGCCTCCGGATATCCGGATGCAAACGAAATTTCGCCGAGACGAAACTGAGCTTGATGAAAAAGTCGCGGATCGGTGTCTGCTCGCGGCAGCTCTTTGTGTCTTGCACGCCGAATGATGGTCAAAGGATCTCTGATAAACGCGTTGCGATAGTATATGATTTAACGTGAACGGTGATACTCGTAGTGAAAGAAATAATATTGGGAATTTGATTAATTTTTAATCGATTTCGAGAGTAATCCTGTATAGAGAATAACAGAGTATCAGTGACAAAGGAATTTTTATCAAATAGAATCGATAATTTGTAGTGGAGGAAGAGAATTTTTCAGGGTTTAAATGACTGAATTATTTTATTTGGATTATCATGCATTGTCACGCAGTAGAATTTAAACGAAAGCTCAACTCCTTTCGCGTTTGTGCAGAAGAGAAAGTCAAAGCGTCGGTGATAAACGAATTATGCTCTCAAATACGATTAATGTCTCGAAGTGGGAGAAATATTCTCGAGGAACGGTTCACGGCAGACTTTAATAAAACATGCAGCGACTTCCTAGCGTGGAAAGAGTATTTATGAAGAACAAATTTAACGAAGCCCATGACAACGACATTTCACGACGCCCTCGATCTTTCTTCAGCCGGTGAGTCCACAATGAAACCGACAACTATACTAGCAGGTGCATTTCGCTTGATAATTTATCACGACGGACAGAGTTCCCTGTTTTCCGGGCTGGATGGCAGCGTTTTCTGAGAATTAGCGTCCGCTCCATGAATACCGGTTCTCTATAACGCGAGATGAAATCGAAACGCGGTTAATCCGGCGAATATCCATCTCACAATAA